TTGCATTACCTGTTCATAATTCATTATGGCAACTCCGGAATCGCAGGAGGAATTAAAAACACAAAGAAAAAATCGTACAAATTTGAAATCCGCATTGACCCGTTTTCAATCATTTTTATCGGATTTTAATGGTTCATCAAATATTTTTGAATTAAAAAATCGCCTATAGCTAAAACAGAACCATTATTACAAGAATTTGCAAGGGTTCAAAATCTAATTGAGCGTTTGGAAAATTCGGAAGATTACGAACAATTAGAGGAATTTGAAAATAATTATTTTAGAATCACGTCGAAGGCTCAAGAAATTTTAGAGCAGCACCAAACAAATGTCTCTTCCACGACTCCAAACATTAATCAAAGCCATTTATTGCAATCACAAGGTATTATTAAATTGCCTACTATTCACCTGCCGGAATTTGACGGTAGCTATTATAAGTGGTTGAGTTTTTATGATGCATTTGATGCTCTCGTGAACAAAAACGATTCGTTAAGCAGTGTTCAGCGTTTTTACTATTTAAAATCGGCCTTAAAGGGTGAAGCCGCTCATTTATTAAATTCATTAGAGGTAACGACGGCAAATTACGTAATAGCTTGGAATCTATTAAAGGAACGTTATGAAAATAAAAAATTGATAATCAGTACGCATATTAAGGGCATTTTTGAATTACCTTTAGTGGTCAAAGAATCTCATAAATCGTTACGTTCATTGATTGACAGCTTTAACAAACATTTAAGGTCATTAACAAGTTTGAACTTACCCACGAACCAGTGGGATATTTTATTAATTTACATAATTACAACCAAACTTGATAGTGCTACTAAACACGAATTCCAAATACTTGAAAAATATTCTAGCTTAACCAAGTTGCAACGAGTGGTTGCATATTTATTGCGCTTCCTACAAAATACGAGCACACACAAGGGGGAAAAATTAAGCGGCGAATTAACCAATAAAGAGATTAACAACGCAATGCGCAAATTAATTGTATTAGTGTGTTGAGAAATGACACATTTTCTTTTGTACACAGTATTTTTATTTTCTGTATTTGAGATCCAGTTTTGTTATCATATTTCGTTCACGGTCAAGTTGGATAGAAAATTGTAACAACAGTTGTTGACGTAGAGTGTGTGCGATTCAGCTTTCAATTTTATTTTCGTTTTGTTTGTTTTTGTTAATAAATTCCGCCGTAATTCATGTTAGTTTTTTGTCACTCACCTTTATTACAGTCCATTAAGCTTCCCTGACATAGTGCAAGGACAATATTTTAGCCAAGACTTAGAACAAATAAAAACATCAAAAACACTAAGCAAAACTTCAAAAATTTTATCCCTTCATCGGCACAAATGGCATACTTCATGTGGGGGGAAGATTGTCAAAATCATTATTACACTCTGATCACAAGCATCCCATTATTTTACCCTCCAATTGTACATTCACTAATTTAATCATCGATTTCGAGCACAAACGAAATATGCATAGTGGAGTTGAAGGCACGTTAGCTCTTATCCGTACCAGATTCTGGCCGATTCATGGTCGTAGCACGGTAAAAAAGGTAATTCACAAATGCGTAAAATGTGCTAGGTTTAGATACATTTCGGAAGCACCCTTTATGGGGGACTTACCACATGAACGGGTTCAGCCAACAAGGCCATTTTTGCACACAGCTGTTGATTACGCCGGCCCTTTCCTGATTAAAGACGGGAAAACGCGTAATCGCAAAATTGTAAAGGCGTACTTGTGTTTATTTTTATGTTTTGCTACCAAAGCTGTTCACTTGGAGGTAGCTAGCAATTTATCCACGTCTGCGTTTCTAAACGCATTTAAAAGATTCGTCGGTAGAAGAGGCATTTGTAGGTCGTTATATTCAGATAATGGCACAAACTTTGTAGGTGCCAACAGAGAATTAAAACAAGTAATCCAACTATTATCAGACAATGAATTTTCCGATTTTTTTAAGCTCAATTCGATCGAGTGGATATTTATACCAAGCCGTTCTCCTCATTTTGGAGGTTTTTACGAAGCGGCCATTAAATCCGCAAAATCGATTATGAAACGGATCGTAGGTAATGCTCATCTAACTTTTGAACAATTGACAACAGTATTTGTGCAAATTGAATCTGTCCTCAACTCTCGTCCTATTACACCCATTTCCAGCGATCTTAACGACTTGCTTGCATTAACACCGGGACACTTCCTAATTGGAGACGTACTCAATTGCATCCCTCAAGAACACGTAATCGACACACCGGAGAACCGATTGAACCACTACAAGAGGCTGAATCAAATGTTCCAGCAGTTCTGGAAAAGATGGACGAGTGAATACACCCATACTCTACAAGCCAGGGGCAAATGGAACAAACAGCGACCCGACATAAAAATTGGAGCGATGGTGTTGTTAAAAGGCGAGTCAACACCTCCGTTGTTGTGGCCGTTGGGCAGAGTTGTCGAGCTACATCCCGGCTCCGACAAAGTAACCAGAGTTGTGACAGTGAAAACCGGAAGTGGGCTTGTGAAAAGAGCCGTTGCAAAATTGTGCATTCTTCCCATTAATGTGGAATAGTATTAAGACGTGTAATTAGTTAACCCAATTAATGACAATTAGTATTTTTGTAACAATTCATCATTGTATATAGTAGTTATATTGAAATTTAAATTAGCTCTTCATTTGAATGGAATTGTTTGCATTGTAATTAAAATCAAATCATTAGTTTATCTTTAAGCTACACTATTATGTATCATTGTATATATTGTTAACGTTAAGTATAATATGTATTGTATCTTATCATAATCATTTGTTATTGAAGGACACATCCTTTCAATGGGGGGTGTATGTTTAAGATTTCAACAACCCCCCACGAAACCTTGTATTTTTGTACCAAAACCGGTATTGTAAGAGTACCTAAAGGGACAGGTAAATAGACCAGAAGCGTATTGCTACTCAAGGTAAGCAGTCGTGTTTGCCACAGTATCGCGTCTACAGTCCACTACTAATAAATATAGTTTAAATTCTATATATTCGTTTTATTCAACGTCAGTAAAAAATAACCAACAGTCGTCCCGTAATCTATTGTAATTCATCTATTCGCACACATATAACATTGCAGGTAAGTAACTCGCAATGTGTCACAACTCCGAATTTTTTTTAATGTTTCTCTTAATTCATATGTAATACTTTTGCTCATGTGTAAATTTTCCTGTGATTAACAAAATACAAATTCAAACTCAAATTTTTGAAACGGCAAAGCGGCCACTTGTTACAAGGTTGATCAACATCTTAGATCTTAGTTTACTGGAAAATTATTGCCCATTCAACTTGATGAACCAACTCTGACTTCAATAATTAATCAATAAAAAAAAATAAAAAGTTAAAACACATTTAACTGGAAAAGAACCTTTTTTTATTTAACCTATATTTTTGAGTGGGCGGGGTGCTCTACTAACCCCGTACCGCAGTCAAGCTTCAACTCTCGCCACAAAGATCGGTTATCTGACAAAGAACTTAACTATATTTGGTTTAAGTAAAAATTAATTAATTAATTAATTAAGTAAAAAAAAAGAAGACCAGAAGGAGGCTTTCACGGTCAGAGGCACATTAATACGATCCTACCTCGGAAGTCGCTCGCATCTTAAGCAGTCCAGAACTTTCGGATTAATTTTATGACAGCTTCCGAACTTCAATTTTCTTTAACACACAAAACTTGTTGACAAAAAACATTAATTATCAATATATAAATATATGACCAATAAATGACGATTTGCCAATGGCTGTTCAGACGGTACAATCTTTTAACCTTTAAAAACAAGAGAACAGAGGCAGAAGGCCTCACGGAGCATTAACTTCATGCTTTTTTCAAACTTGACAGACTGTTTCCATAAAACGGGGAGATTGCTTTAAACTTTTCAACAACTTTACTTAACTTGCATCTCCTCAAAATTATATAATAATGCCCGAACAAAATAACGTAAACAAACATACAGGCTTTCCAACCGTCGCGAACCAGCGAGCTAGCAGCAGCTTAGCTTATACGTTGAGTCGCAGTATTTAACGAAACACCACTTCCACAATAAAATAATCCCTTTCTTCAAAATCTTTCAAAACACCGCCAACAATCATTAGACTTCATAACGCCGTCTAGGAAGGATTGCGTCAAAAGTCCCCACTTACACCGAACTCATGCGCACATCGTATATAGATGTATATTTTGGTTGAAATTTTTTAAATTTCGCCTCATCAAAATATCAAGACCTTATGGCAAACGCTAAAGCAAACTTTTTATAAAATAAGCAAATTTTTAGTAGACCAGATTCTTACTGTCTAAAATGAATAAATTGCACAATCACAAACAATTTTAAAATGGAAAAACAACTACGGAAAAATAAAGTAAAATAAAATAAACCAATCCTGTGCTTATTCGCCCCCCATATTATATTATATTATACTATATTTTATTATATTATATATTATATTATATTATACGGCAAGCGTTCCTTGTTATGCTTTGCCTATAACTGTGATTCGCATATGTTGTAATTGTAATCACTGTTATTACTAACACTAACACTGAATTCAACTGAACATATATGCATTCCCTGGATATTGTAACAGTTTTAAATAAAAAGTTTCTGGAAGCGGCAAATAACGCAAAATTATAAATAATTTTTTGAAAGAGCAAGAGGTAACACAGTTAGAAATTACCATATCAACTAATGTTCAACATTGACTTTCATTGAAGAGAAAAAAGATCGGTATTTGTAATTTATAGGGTCTAACGATTTACATTTAAAATAGGGGATGTCAAAACATCGAGATTAAAATGTCTCATTAGGCACTCAATAAATTAGTGACGGTGCTTCGAAAATTAATTTCGCGTGTAAAACTATACCTAAATCATTTCCTGGAGCTTAAAGTCCTGACAAAAGAAGTGCGTTTCCCCTTTCAGACCCGATAAGCACGCACGCTACCGATACTCCATCGCACTTCACAGAAGCTATTGACTTACCTGCGGTCGGCTAACAGGTGGAGGCGCTCCCATGCCATGATGGTACATCATGTCGTGTTTCAATTGTGGAAGTCCTGCAGGGCCGCCGGTACCTTGATGTTTTATGTCTACGGCGGCGAGGGCTTCCGCCCTACTAATCAGTCCATCGTTGAGTCCGGAGAATAAATCGCCCTGAAAACCAATTACATAATTTCTGTAATGAATTTCGTAAAGGGTGTCACACATATTAAATCACACACATGCATTTGTAATACGTGGGGGATGGAAAGAGGTTTAGAAAAAATCGCGGCCGACGCGACTAGGTGCGTTTATAAGAACCGCTCAAACCTTACATCCACACCTACTTCAAAATTTATGTGTTGAAATTATGATAAAATGATTCGTTAAATTATTTATGATTTTTCCACTAACTTTTGCAACGTTCGCCGATTATTCATGTTGTTTTTGTAAATAGAATCTTTAAGTGATCCTCTGACGGTTTGTTACATTAAATATTCATTGTAATGGATGTACCTACAAGTTATTTCTTGATTTTCTTTAAACGGACACATAAGTTTACTTTGTTATTATTGTTGTTAACACTAGGTTAGGCTCATTTACTGCTTTATTTATTCAGTATAAATACGAAATGTTTTAACGTGCGCGACAATGGACTTTATTGTATTCATTCAACGATTCAACACATCGTGCGATAAAATGTGCCAATCACATACAAATAAGTATAGTTCAATTCATTTACAAGCTTTCTTTGGTCCAAAAGACTGATCCAAAGCAAAGTGTGCAACTACTTGATACTTTTTCGCACAATTATTTTTTTATTTTCGTCGATTTTGATATTAATGTCTGTTATAACTTATAATACTCAGTGGCGGCTTGTGGGTTCGATGGTGATGGGCACAAGTAAAATCTTACCTACTATTTTTTGTACATAAAATTCATTCTTTTATTTTTGAGGTCGCAAAAGACGCTAATGGCTGTTGCCAAAATTCGGGATAGACTCGACGAACTTCTTCCTTTCTACTGATAGGACCGCCAATGGCAGTGGACCATAGCGAGTTAAAATACCCCCCTGATAGATTTTCTTTGGTAAACCTAAAAATAATCTTATATAATGTAAGAACCATATTTTAGGGTAGTCCTTGATAACGAAAAAGTAAAATGTCAACGCAACCCCTATTTGATAAATGTGGCAAGCTGACTGGTCAAGTATGCGCGATTCTGCACATATGGGTGCAAGGGTCTTAAGGGATCGTGTTAACTGTTAAGGCAGTTAAGTTGCGTACGCGCTCTGGTCACGATCGTATAAGGGATGCTAGGTAGAGCATCGGACGTTAGTGAGTTTGGTGTAATAGCTCTTTATTGTGAGTGTCTCCCACGCGTAGGTGGTGAGTGTCTCCCACGTGTAGGTGGTGAGTGTCTCCCACGTGTAGGTGGTGAGTGTATTGTGCAGGCCATCGTGCTGGTCGTGCATTGTTGTTGGGCTATGGTAAAACCCCTGGCAGATATCCGGATATATTCCTAGGCTTTTAGAGTGCATTATGTGCATGTGCCTATGACGCGGTCCCGCGGGTAGCTCCCGTTGATTATACCGCTGAGTGATCTACTCGCTCGAGTAGATCATGGTGTCGACCCAATACGAAACATAAAGGCCTCATTGTTAACACAAACAGTTCGGGGGTGAACTCGACCTGGATGTCGTTCCCAGGTAGGGCAATGAGTGACATAGATCGACGTTACTGATCTATTGGCCGAGGGTCCTAGTCAGAGGGCCAAGGCGGGATGTGTATCCTAAATAATACACGTGCGCGCGGCGTAACCCTTTCCCAAATAGGTATGAGCTCCATCTTAACCCTTCAGGAAGCCATCTCCAACGACGCATTCAACCCCAATCACCAACAGGAGTGTTCGGAAGTTCCAGGAGAGCTTAGTGACAGTTCGGGGCTAACGCCCCCCGGTGAGTTACCTAATTGATTAGCGAGGATCGCGGTTAAGCAGTCGCGATGTTTGTTTACATGACCCTTTGGTGCGGAAGACGACCAGTCAGACTGAATGCTGCCATGCCAACCCCTTACGCGTAGATTACAGAGGGACGTTTCTAATGAAAGGTGAGTTTACAGTAGATTTGTCGCATCTTAATAATGAGTTCTGACCAACAATTAGCTCCAATTTAATTACCGATTTCCCTTGTTGATATATAAATAGACCCCCCCCCCCCTTTACAATAAATATATTATAAATGGGACCAGACCATGCTGTAAGTGGGGCTCAGCCCCACCTGGCCGCCCACTTGCCTGCCCGGAAATCCGGAGGTGATAAACTGGAAGTAATATGTACTTATAGAGAACGCACTGTAGCGGCTATATTGTTGCAGATAACAAGAGTAGCGTTCTGATGAAATATGTTAGAAATAATCAGATCTACATATTGATAAAACATGACCCTTAAAATAATCGGAGGTAATGCAGTTTTGTTAAAAATTCGTTCATTGTCGGGGATAACGAGATGTTAGTATAATAAAAAAATATAAATATGATTAGTACTACATATAATCAAATATAGGTAGGTAAGTATTCTAAAAAGTTCAACAATTCAACAGTAAAAGTAGCAAATCAGCCGATAGGATGTGTATATTCACAAAATTCGAAAAAAAGTTTAGGTACCGATAAAATTTCAATTGATCATAACAGAAATATTTATTAAGAAATGTGATTTGTAGGCAGCCACGTGCAACGTGGGACACCGATCCCCAGGTTTTTAATAACAATTTCGTCATTAGGTAGAAACCCCTTGATCCGTCATCGTACTAGCCCGTCATGCATATAGTAATATGTTGGTATCCCTGGTTGAGGAATTCCAATAATACTTAAATGCACTTTGAGCGTAATATCCTTTCGCTTCTTCTTTACTTGTTAGTGGAAAAATTCATCAGTCGTTAAATCCTATACTACATTCGTTATAACTTATAAGAAGGTACTTAGATGACCCTGTGTTTAAAGATAAGAAGACACAGAAAAATACTGACTTGTGTTTCAACCAATCACAGTAAAGATCAAAGCTTCCCTATGTTTTTTTTACCGCTACTTTCTTAAAGTGAATAGGGTATAGTTGACAACCGGATATTAGAGTTTAATCCTGGCTCACCGTTTATTCTGGTATCATACGATCTGTCTGTTATGTTCTTAAATTCCAACACTTGTATGTTTATGTATATTTTGTTGAATGATCCTCGTATCAGTTGTAACCTGGGAATTTTCAAACGCGTAGTTTCCTACGACCCCGGCGCTGCGCTGCGAATTGTCCTTGTCGATTTCATTTCTCTCTTTCGTTCACCAGACGTGGTAGAGTTCACTTCATTAAACAACTGAAGCATTAGTGAGAACGCATGGGATTATAATTGCCGCCACCCATATGTATTAATTATTTAGCGATTAAATTCGGTTAATTGGGGATTCCGCGTCTATTTCTACATGGAATTTCAACCCTTAACTCAGATACAAGGAGGATATATTTACGTTACCAGTTTAATAGACTACCTATGAATTTGGGGAACCTGCTGACCTTGACTAGTTTACCTGCAAGTGCCAACGCTTGCTGACAGATGAGCCAACGCCTACTGATACGCGCAGCCATTTTATGAATCACGAGATCATGCAACAGCTTTGAAATCAATGATTCCACTGACAACCACGACAACACTTCCGTAAATGTGGCACGTAATGATTGCACCGTAGTTTGCCCATTAGGAACATAATATATCGCATTCAATTTATTTGTTAATTTCAGTAAAGACTTACTTATTATTTATGCGAGGTTGGTGCGCGGATGCGATGGTAGTCTGCCCTTCCTTCTGAAGCGGGTTTGACGTTTAATGATCGTACTTGTAATCGAGCATACTACAAGTAATCGAAGCCCTTCTGGTTCTGGCATTGTCATTTCAGGGTATTCCGAGCTCTGCAGTTTTTGTTTTGTTTTCAGATTTATGGGAAAATCCGGAATCTGAGCTCACACCTCTGGAAGGAATCAATTTAAAGCAAGGCAAGCGTTGCCCTTTTAAGTTTGCTTGTATTTGGCATACACGTGCGAATTGTTGCCGGAATTTAATTTTTTTGTGGAAACTTGAGTTCCTAAGTCAAGTAGTCAGTAGAATCGATCTGTTAAATCGGAATAAGATTCAAATTGTCCATTCAAGTTATTCAGTTTTGTATGTGTAATGTAATGTTACGCGATATCCCCTTGGGGAGTTTATTTTTTGATTTCATATTTAATTACAATAAACTAGATCGGAATGGAGCTCGCTGCGCTCGCCCTCACCGATCACGGCGTTTCGTGTGCAACGCCGTTTTGGTATCCCCCGCCGAAATCGGCACACACATTTGTGTGTCGTATTCTAAAAGGCAAAAAGCGAAAATATTTGATTCGGCTCAAAAAGGACCAATATATTGGTGAGCTCCTCTTCATCCTCCCATTCCCGGAGCTTTTATCTTTGTTCCGAAATTGCGACTCTCGCGTCGCTTAGGTTATGTCGAGAGCTCTCCAAAGATACCCAGAAACATCCATCTACGACGCACCGTTCTCGAGATATCCCGTTTTAAGTGTTTTCGGTGGTGTCAAATTACAAGTCGCTATATCTCCGTTGTTTACCGTCCGATCTCGTCCAAATTTGGTATTCGGAGGTTTGGGGACTCGGTGCATTCGATCCCGCCTTTCTTAGCTTCTACCTCCCAACAGTTAGGTTAGGTCGAGACCTTTCTAAAGACACCTATAAACCCATACCTACGACGTTCCGTTCTCGAGATATAGCGGTTTAAGTGTTTTATCAAAAATGGAACTACTGTTTTTGTGTAGATCGTCTTGAAATGTCACAAAACGCGTGATTCCGAAGTATCGAGGCTGTAGGTCGAAAGACAACAGAGATGCATCGATAACTCGGAAATGATGAGGCATGAAAAAATGTAAAAATCCCGTTTCGAGCCCCCGACCGGCCGCAGCTACAGTTAAAATTTGATACGAATCGGCCTGTAAATAAGGGAGATATTAAGGGATGCGCGGTTCTTTAAAATGCATCCGTGGAGAAATTTGAAGAAAAAAGCGAGAGTATATCGATGGCCCGAATCAAGACGAACATAGGAAGACTAACAAGCATTGGATGCCACATTCCCTCGGACAAAAGACGGCTGGCGGAACTCAGACAGCTAAGTGAAACAAAAGTGCGGAAAGAATCCGGGTATCGTACTAGGCGACTTCAATGCGCAACTAGGCAGACTGGACGAAAGAGAAAAAGAGGAACATAGTATAGCAAAGCTATCAAGCACGAGTATGACAACGGGAACAGAAGTGAGGTTAGGAACATGGTACACCTACATGAACTGAGATTGGAAAACATATTCAGCAAGTCCTAACGGTACTGACAACATGGCGGAGGGGAAACTCTGAATCGCAGATTGACCACATAATGACGAAATCAAAGGAAATAAACATCACGAACACAGTAGGCATATGGGCAAACTCAGTAGGATCGAACCACAAAATTGTAAAGGGGAAAGTAAAGAGGGGGAAGGGGGAGAGGAGTGGGTGGGATGAAAAGGGAGGAATACAGAAAGGAGCAGATAGAGATCAGAAGCAAGCATCTTGGACGCCTATGTCACAGAACAGGAAGCGAGCCATGGATAATCACAGCAGAGCAATCAAAAGGTTTGGAAAAACCCACACAAACCTGAAACAAAGGAGGAGGTAAGGGAAGCCAAGGAGGAGAAAAACAGAGCCTTTGAGCAAATCAAGGAATTCGACGAATTCGTGGAAAACATCGCCAAGCTCAGACCAATGGAGAGGAATGCGCACATAAAAAAACAGAGGGAGGAAATAAGGGGGAAACAGAAGATATATACCAATGAAAGCGTGGGCGATGCTGGGACTGCTCAAATTCCTAATCATCAGAATCATAAACGCCTAAGGGAGTATACTAGTACACAATGGTTTGGGAAGAAGACCGAGCACCAAAAAAAAACCAGGGGAATCAAACAAGGATGTTCATTTTTCGCTTTCCCCAAGACTCTTGGCGATAGCACTTGATCACGCTATAGAACAAACAAGGATGGTGGTGAGGAACTTCAGCACAGGCGGCCAATTACAACTACCGAAATTACTGGCGTACGCGGACGACCTACTCGTAATCGTGGATAATTTATAAGACATTGAGGACTTCATCTAAGCCTGCTGGAAATGGTAGAGCTACAAATAAACAATGAAAAGAGCTACATGATGATAAAAGACCCAAGAAGCAACACCCAGTACAAAGAAGGAGAGAAGATCGCAATAGTCGGGAAGGAGCTAACCATGAAGCACAAGATTAAATATCTGGGAGCGTATACATAAGCAGCAACATTCAGTAGGCACAATAAGACAGAATAACCAACACATTCAGAATCACACATGAAATTCGGAACTTCATACGAGAGAAGAAAATACCGGACCGCTTGAAAATGATAATTTACAAAACGATCATAGCACCGACAATCCTATACGGAGTTAAGTTAGCCACTTCAGTTCTAACAAGGAGCCACAAACGAACATTGAGGGCGGAGCGGAAGGCACTCAGGATACTGATGGAAAACAGCAACCTCACAAGAAAGCAGTAGCAAGAGAAGGAGGAAGAGGGGACAGAAAGTAACGCAGGGAGAGGACAGCAATAAAAAGGAGAGGAACACGGGGGAAAACATGGAAGGGGGAGCGAGACCAAAGGATAGGAACATCGGAAACCAATGAATGCCCGGAGTAGAAGGTATCACCAGAAAGCAGAGTTTCCTCTAAGGCAGATATACCAGTGGCGAAGCTGTGCCCCCCCCCCCACACCACCACCCAATCCACAAAATCCACCCAATCCACAAAATCCACCACATTATTTGACATATGTCGCGGCCCAGCATGATGCCAACAAAAGTAGTGGTGAAACGCCTCTGATAGTGCCTACCAGGGACGCATCCCCACGGCAGTTGACTAAATCCTGGGAGAGGCGGCGACGCCAGGCATAAGTATCAAGTATCAATTAATTGATCACTAGTAGTCGTTGATGTAATGAGTATCCTACCCACAATACAACCCTGTCTGCATGGCTGCCTACATACGTATTCTCTTCGATTGATTGTATGATGCTATGTAAACATACTTAGTGATGACCTCATAGTACACTGATGACGTGCGCGTAAACTAGGGTAAATCCTGCTATATACAGGGTGATTCCTATAGTACCTGCCACCGTTTGGGAGCGTGTAGGTGGTGCGTAGGGGAGTATTTTGATATAGGACACTTGGGGTCGGAAATCTAAAAGAAGGGTGCCAGAGCCAAATTTACCTTCTGGAATTTCGCGCCTGTAGGTAGGCAACCCAACCGGCCGGCGGTGCACACGGAGCGATCTCAGCCGGCGATGTGTGGCTGACACTTGATCAGAATTTTGTTTAAACCCACGAAATCCCGTCTGCAACGACGCGTATCAAGTGAATAAACACTATGGCAATAGTATAATAATAGTTGGCTATATGTAGGAAGTGCATTGAGAACAACGGTGGCCACGTTGAACACTTGTAAACGTTATTGCTTTTGACTGTCGTTTTCCCTCCTTCCCTCCCATGTCGCTTCCTCGCGCTAACTCGCTCTGCATCGCTCCGGGCGAAACGTCGGTCGGTTGGGTTGCCTACATACAGGCGTGAAATTCCAGAAGATAAATTTGGTTCTGGCGCCCTTATTTTAGATTTCCGACCCCAAGTGTCCTATATCAAAATACTCCCCTAGGCACCCCCTATACGCTCCCGAACGGTGGCAGGTACTATAGGAATCACCCTGTATACAAATATACAGTGCTATTCATTATGAAGTAGACATAGTGATTTATGTGTACTGTTTTTCCCTATGTCTACGTTTAAATGACAAAATATCTTCTGAAGGGCGCCTAATTTTATGCAGCCAAAATAACTTCATAAAACAAATAAAAGATCTGGTTGTCACATTAATTAATTTGAATATTAGTGCTTTGGGTTCCGTAACTGAAGAAAAAGTTGATGGTGTCAATTGATATAGTGCCGGAAACAGTTTAAGGAGCGTAAAATATTTCTTTTCTGTTAATCCAAAGCAACAATATTCAAATTAATTACTATGACAGCCAGATGTTTATTTGTTTTAAAAAGTTATTTTAGATGCATAAAATTAGGCGCCCCTCAGACGCGATTTTGTCTTTTGAAAGTAGTCTGCGTCTTAACAAATGTCACCTAGCGACGCGACGGAGGCCAATGTATTCGTCTTTCTTGCACATTTTACCACAATTTCGAAAACTTATACGTCGTTACGTCCTTCACAACTAACGAAATAATTGATTTCAATAGCCATTGTCCGTTACAATAAGCGATTCTGTACAAAAAACGCTAATAGACCGCTATTGATTGGCAGTTTTTAGAAATGTTGCGTCTATAACGTATTCCTTAAATCGGAAAAGATATAATTATATACATCATATTATAAGAAGCTTTTATACCATACATCCCCCATCAATTAGAGATCAAAGGTTTTATTTTGAGTAGTATGCGTAGATCACAAAGGTAATGTATGTTATGTAAGTAACCCCTACTTTCTTTTCGTTTCAATTCGTATAACTTTTGTCTTTGCATATCAAAATATTCGTTCGATGTTTCTATGAAAAGCTCAATACAGTACAACGTACAACACAGAAAGTTTACTTTAAATCTATTAAATTTCTTTCAAGTTAAAGCATCTGTTTGGATATTACTTTTAAGATCATTCTCTAAAAAGAGTCAAAAATTAATTGACTTTGATATGTGGGAACCGGCAGATTTTTTTAATGCAAATGAAATGAGACAATTAGTGTATTTCAGCCTATATCGATTATAAATTTGCTCACAAAGTCACTTCCACCAGTTGAATTCGAGAGATATTCAAGTTTCAAAAGCAACTCAAGGCCGCTTAGAACTCCCATCTTTAACTCATACGATGACCGCTATTACCTTGAAAAGTTCGGAGGTGAAAACGCCTAGAGAAACTTAGAAAACGGCCCAAACTGTATTGAGTGTCACGCATCCAAACCGCCAACAAAGTGTTAGGGGTACGGGGTATCGCACCGAAAGTATAGGAACAGGCAAAGGTAGTAAAACGAACTAAAACATCTTTTTTAGTAACGGACATTTCACCTTCAAGCAAGATATTTCATAAATAAGGGGTTACTTGCTCCGAGTTGGTCTCATCAAAGCAAACCTGTGAAGCAAGCACATACAAATCGAGGTGTGGATGCATCTTGCACTTAGTACGACAACGGTCGGCTAATCCCCAAGGTTCTGTTGCAAAGGGATTGTTCGTCGGGGCATGCTTTTCTGTTTATTATGAACCCTTGGCTCTCGGAATGAAACTGTAAATCTAAGAAATAGCGCCTACAATACTATAGTGGTGATAAGCGAAATGAAGGCAAGAACTGCATGGAAAGGGTAACAAAATAGCAAAAGAGAAAAATTGAAAACACTCACCTGATCTCTATTATACATGTGAATCTGTAAGAAGAAACTAATTTGAAGCAACAGTACTTTTTCGCTAACAAGTAAAAGATCATTTTATCAAAACTAGCATTTCTGTAATTTCATATACCTCGAGGGCGATATAATACAGCACGACATTTATAAACGTCAACCTTACTAAGTGTACAGGTAGTCGACTCCTATTTACTGACCTTCCACAGAAAAAAAGAATTAAAGTTGTGACATATAGAGAAACAGCGCAGTATAACGACAGTTTTAAGATAGGCTCGAATGGGCTGTGCAAATACTTGACAGAACAGCTCGAGGCAAAGCGCTCTCGAGTTTGGACCGTGTAGGTGGGTAAGCTTCACGTCATTTTCCTGACAGTTTACATGTTACGTATCGCACCGATGCGATACACATTTCAAATGTTAAAACGGATGAATTCTAAAGTAGTGTTTGCGAAAATGCGGCGCTCGTGTAGATGAAGAGTTACAGTTGAAAAGACAAGTGATAATCTCCTTAATTTCATTGTTGTTTCCCGTTTGTGGGGGAGACCGTGTAAATTTATCATGGCTAGCAACTCATTTAGAGGTTAGGTCCCCATTCGTCTTTTCTCCGTTTATAAATTACCCCATTCGGCTAAGTTACGAGTATTATATTAACAAACTGTTTAGTCATTTCTGTAAAGTGCCGCCTTAGGGAGTGATATATATTAGAACCGACGCCCCAAATTGTGGAACAGAAAACTTAATTAAATATCTGTTTACAAAGTCTCGCTTCCATTTAAACTTTTCAATTATTTTTAAGAACCGTTTATAGCCATTTTGGTAAAGCGCTGTGGTAAGTACTCAATTTTATTACTCTTAAAGCCATTTTGTGGGCAATGACGGTCATTTGGAAGCTCAAGGGTGATGATCAGCACTAACCAATAAAAGCTTTTTAGTAGGTTATCACTAAATTATCTCAGGCCCAATAAACATGAATTCTAGTTTTCACTTTTAGTACGCGAACAAGTATGTGTAGCATATGCGTCTGAGTTTTGCATGTTGAAATTATTGAGAAGAAACATGTAACCACCACCGTACAGATTAGTGTAGTTAATGTGGGAATGCATCGCCCGTCCATACACGTTGGTTACATCAATAAGTCATCACCGTTTTGAATGCCACAATCTGACATCTTGTTAAGGTGCAGAAAATTCTATAAACACTATTTCTCATAGGAAGTGGTGCTTAGTGAATAACCTAGACATTCTATTACAATGCTGGACCCTACTACTGCACAAGCCTACAAAGCGTATAAAGATTGCACCACGAAATTAATCATTTGGCCGTTAACGTTAGACACAGTGTATAAAAAACGTCAGTTTCGTGGCGCAATTTCTACAATACTGTAAGTACATACCTTATTCATTCCTTCGTATAACTGGAAAACAAAACGAGTATTTAGTTTATCAATTGGAATATCTTAATAATTATTTATCATTATAAATGTACAAGTAACATACGCTACAGTTAAGTAAGGATAAGATCTCCGATTATGATCTATATTTTGTGCTGTTTTAGCCAGAGTTTGCTTTTTTATGGTCATTTTATGAATAATTGGATATATCTTGTTTTTGTTAAGTTATCTAATAGTGAGAATTTATGCTATTTTCTAATTTCCATAAGCTGAACGCTTCATAATTGAGTTTTGGCTAATCAAGGATTAAAATGAAACAAGCGTATAGGATTTATAATAAACTGCAAAAAGTTGAAAATTATAACGAATTACTTTGCGAAAAAAGCAATACCTCATAAAATAAAGATCTTGCAGGAACACTGCTGTGGAGACGGGCACACGAAAAAAGTGATAAAATAACCCATTTTTTAATTTTGTGAAAATGTGCCAAGAACAATGAAAATAAAAAAAGAATTGACATGTTTCACAGGGTGCATTAAATAAGAAGTGGAAATGTGTGTGAAGTTGGCCCGAAATACCCTTCCGAAATTTTGAGTTTTTTGAGCGAATGGTGTCTGAGTACAGTCCTGTCGAGTGAAATGCTAGCGGCGCTAGGAAGTGGCGAGAGATAGCGAAATTAATTAGAATTACGTGACGATCCTGCTGAGCAAGATCCGCTCATTATCAAGCAACTTGAGTGGGAATTCTCAGTGAACGTGCAGCAGCTTTGTATACGTCAATTCGGTGTCTAGGGATTCGATTTTCCTAGCAAAAATGAGTTCTATTGGTAGAGAAGGTTGTACGTCCCAGAATGGATGTGAATGGAAATTTTGAATCGTGCGAAATTGGTCGTAGGTGGTAAGCCGTAGGGAAATACGCGTCAAGTCGCGATAGCATTCGTAAGTTTGCGCGGGATGGTTACATAGTTAGTGAAAGATTAAGCCTAAGCTACGAAAGAGGTCGCGTTGAAGCGAAAGAAAGAAACTTCGGTTTAAGCGTTCGTGTCAAGGGTCCTTAGAACGGTTGCGTCGGTATCGCGAGAAGTTAAATCCATCATCCTATAAATTACTGGGGATCGTTTTGGATTGTAGAAAAATTACGTGAGTAATTGTGTCAGACCTTTTTGTGGTGAACCACGCGCGAACAGCTTCTTCGTGACTTTCAATGTAAGTAAGGACTTACGTGCGATCAAAGTGATTTAAAGGATGAATTGCGAAAGAGGAAACTAATTGCGAAATAATGATAGCGGAATTTTGAAGAAGCCCGAAATTGAACCCAGTGATCTTGAAAACAGAACACTGGGATATAGTTGGATGGGTCCGTTAGTTTACTGCAAAAATAGGGTAACTACATTTTTTGGATTTTTGTGTTCGGTTAAAAAATTGCTCTCACGTCAATTTTGTAGCAATGGAAAACTCGTAAATGTCGTGTAGATGTTATTTCGGTCTAAACACAAAAAATAAATTTAGTAAGCAAATCTGGTCGGTTATTTACGAATAAACACAAAGTTGTTGTAATTGAATTTGTAATTCCGTATTTGTTTTTCTTTATAGTAACTTTTCGTTTTAATTTTATCGCTTTTGTAAATTATTCAATTTAGATAAGGAGTTAGAAGTAAGACACATCTGGTCAAGTTTGCGTACTTTATAAAATGTAATTTATTCGTATGCGATAAGGAGTCAAAGTTAACTAATTTCAAGGAAACGCACATCCGGTGCTGATAACGAGGACGCAGGTGGTTCGAAGAATTGCGCGGTTCATATTGAAGAAGGTCGCGTTCCGTCGTGATTGGCGATTTATTTGAAAATTCGGTGGTGTTCCCTTAAATACTGGAAATAACGAGAAAACGAAGCTGATGCTGGTTTTTCGATGGTGTCATCATATTCATCAAGTCAGTTTTGTTTGTCATCTAATTCTGTGTTATAAAACAAAGAGAAGTTTTGAAGCTGCCAGCATTTGTGTGCGCCTAATATCGAAAACCTTATACCTTATTTGGATTATTAAGAATGATTTTGAGATTTCTTATTTTATCTGTCGACCGCCTGCGTGCGGGGTAATATGACCAAACAAGTTTTTCTTTCTTTCAGAGATTTTCCCCCTGCTTTCCGGCATAAATTCTTGTCTGTGTCCATTAATTAACTGTGTTTAATCGAACCCATTGTGCGACCCGCATAGAGTTTTCATGTCAGATTTTTCTGTTTGTACCCAAGAATTATTTCAGGTGTGAATCAAAATTTGTGTTAAAAAATTGTTTGGAATTTTCGGCCACCGAGTTTCTCAAATTGAGAAATGTAAAGTCAACATTGAGATTTTTCATTGCGCCAGGGGCCGAATGTCTACGAGGGATAGCGTAGTGAACGCATGCCATTGCACACAGCTTTGGATCTATCTAGTAGAAGCAATTGAAACTTTGCATCTAACAGTCAATAAGGGAAATCCGTCAGCTGGGTTTAAAATATTGCAAGTTAGATAAAAGGTGGTCACTTAATTAACTGTTCACTTTATTACTAGATTTTTAAATAGAATTGACATAGGTATTTTGTTATTAATATGGAGGCACTCATTTGCTTATACCGGAATTTATGAACACACCGTACATAGATGGCCACTACCAGATTTATCGAACACCCGGTATCTAGAGGCGCTTTGTTACTAAAAGTGTTGTTCCGGAACTATTTATTTCTTTTAGGAGTTGGGGACACAATGTAGAAGTTCAGCTTTAATTTCTAGCGCCGTCTTAGCCACCGATAAGCAAACCAGTTGCCGACAGTCGTCGGCATGGGGAAGCAAGGGAATTTAGAATTTCAGCCCCGTTAAGTAATTATTAGAGAATTTTGGTTTCCTATGTTAATTTAAAATAAAACGAGAATTAAAGCTGCAAGGTTGTGAAGCTTATTTCATTTGCGATTGACCCGAAATTTCAGGTAATAATGGGAATTTGGAAATTTTAATCCGGTAATGAAATGAGTTGCTGTCAATCGCATCCGAGCCAGTCGTGAGATGTATCTTTTTGCCTTTGGTGTTTTAACGAAAACGTAAGATCACTTTTTGGCAATTGTTTGCTGTACTCGCGTACGTTTTGTTATTTTATCCGTCACGATAAAATTAAAGGTAAGCGTTTGCTATTTTTCTTCCCTTAATTATAAGGGAGGCATTGTTTTGCTGTTCCCTAGGCTGTTCCCGTTTGATTTTCCGTAGCAACAGCTAATTAATTTATTCTTTGTCGCTTGCGTCCCCGTTAGGGTAATCGCTACCGTTTCCGTGTACCATAATGCTGTTTTAGTTGCTTTCCTGGATGTAACCGCCTGCCTAATTCTTCAACTGATTGTCTGTGGCTATCGATTGTGCCAAACCTTCGAGGCCGTTCCGAAACCGCCTTGGCCAGAAGCAAGGCTTCATGACTTCTGGTGGCGCTCGAGTTCGTCCGTCCGTTCGTTCCGCCGATATCACATCCAGACTGCCGTCGATTTCCGCCACTTTAGCCCGATGGTGTGATTGAATTTGTCATTTGGAAATTTATTTATTTATTTTTTATTATTGATTCAGATAACAATATTGTCCAAAACGGGCGTCTTCTATTTAATAATGTAACGTGAATTATAATTTCGGGTTCGATTTATATCAATATTTATTAAACAAAACTAAAACACTATAAAATCCGTACAATTTATATCGATTATTTATATCACACACTTCGAAATTTATATCTGCTTTTCGCGCTCTATGTTTCGTCCGTACTCGATCTCGTTCGATAGTAGACTGCCGCGATGTTCGGTCCGCAACCATTTATACACGCAAGCAATGTAAGTCCAGTACATTCTCGAATACGCGTAGAAAATTCCAGAGTGCCAAAGGCGACGTCATGTCTGCAGCATTTCCGTTACAATAATTAGTTTCGATACATTCGTTTAAGCGTTTACCTAACGAAAACTTAAAGTTTAACGATTCAGCAAAAAAAATGAGCGCAGAGGTCTAGGTGCGAAATAATCAGCCCGAGTATAAAGGCTTGCTTCAGGAAAGTGACTGGATTTGATAATTACTTTTTCAACAAGTAACGATCTTTGTTTGAGTTACAGGCAGTAAAATAAGAGAGAATATTACATTTAATTGTGCAGTTTTGCCAAAAGCACGTTTCAAATCAAAGATATTATTATTGACCCAGTTATTTCAAACTAAGGTGCAGAGGAGATTTATGGCCGAACGCAGAAAGATATATTGGGGATGATCTTAGCATTTCTTTGTAAAAAGGAAATGTTGAGTGTTTTCAGGTTGCAAGGGTAGAATCGGGGTCTACCACTACTGTTGTATTGCTGTTTTCAGCTAAAGTGTGATTCTTAGGTTAAATTATTTTTCATAATATAAATGCGATGTGGTCAAGTTGTCTTTATCAAAATGTCTTTATGACATGCTTTCACAGTATCATCTGGATCAATGGTTCTGATGCAATTTAAATCGTAGGTATTTTTAATCACATGGCCCTAATGTTTGGTTTATTGTAATTGTGGCGCGCTTCATGCAAACACGCTATGAATTATTGATTTTGGACAAATTCAATGTTTTTCGAAACTATCCCTCATCACAGTGTCATTTTCGATTTTCCCTTTTACAAATTCCTCTCTTCGTTCGGGTACGAATTACTACCGAATCAAAATCGAGAAAACTCGCATATATTACAAGAAATTTCAATTACGCGAAACGAATTTGATATCAATTAGCGCGCATAACCCGTCACTTAATAAAAGCTGGCCGGAAGTGCTAGTGTTGTACCGGAAACGAGAGCGGAATGGGCGAGGGGGCGAAACTCTAACAAGTAGGGCCGTCCTGAATTATAAATGAAGAGTAAGAACTAACTTACGCAGCCCCTCTGTTTTTATACTTCCTCCCTCCTAAAGCGAAATTCTGAATTTTAAGCTTGATATTTGATGGTAATGCGAAATAGTGAATCGATTATTAAGGAACAACTTTGAGATACTCCGCTGCAGAGTTTAATACTCCGTTATTACCGTCAGTCGCTAAAAGGTAGGGGGCACCGAATACGGTTTTGCTCGTGTCATTTAAAAGGTGCTAATTTAAAATGGATCCCGTGACATTAGCATGTTTTCATTTGAATGGTCCCTAATTCCAATTCGTGGCACAATTTAGGTATCTACTCGAAATCATCGATCTATTTTTACGGTTAATAACTTAAAGCTAAAATTTTCGAGAGCACTTAGTCACGGAAGCACATCAGTCAGCACAAAAAATGAAGAAAATACGCATCACTTTTTTGTGAAAAAGACTATTGTAACTAGTATCCCATGTATCGGGGCGCCATCAAATCGATAAAGATTAGTCGCGTGAAAGCAGATGCAACGCATATTTTCCTTAAAATATGATACGCCTTCCAGATTCTTCGAGAGTATTACAGGATCTTTTCTACAAACTTTCCGTTTGCACATTGCAAACTGAAGAGTGTTTAATAGAAGTTGCAACATCGACGTCGAATTGATGCGTAGGGATGTTACGCTCATTTGTTATAAATCTACATGATATGAGTGAGAGATAAATAATAATTATCTGTTATAAATCAAACTATTTGAGGACAGTTATAAATTAATTGTTAATTAACGATAAATAAATAAATAACGTAATTAAATTTAGGTTCTATTATATTCAAATGCAGTTTAAGCTTGTCAGAATAGAGTCGTGGATGGGTATTGGCTACAAATCTTCCAATGTGAATGGAAACTAGCAGAGGAACGTAGAGGTCATAATGTAATTGAAAAACTGAAAACTAGTGGTTGTAAAAATCTAAGACGTATCAAGCAAGGGATCAATCGCACAAACTTTTAGAAAATGAAAAATTTTACGGAAAGATTACACATAATGAACCAATGCTTGAAGATAAACAAATGACGGGCAAGATGATCGTGAACAATGTAACAATCGCAAAAGTACAACGCCACAGAAGGGGCATACTGGTTCCTTGTTCCGATAAAGAGATATGAATTGGTATCTTTGAACGTCAAGCACTTAAGAGCGGTTTGTAAACGTGGAATTTATTGCGTCATAATTAATTTTGTGCTTGCAAACCCGAAATTAATTATATCGGAATTAATTCCCTGTTTTCAAATACGGAATTAATTACGTTATAATCAGTTGCGTACTTCAAAACTCACGACTCACACATGCTGAATTAACTATGCACGCGTAAATACGGAATTAGCCCCCAAGCGTTAATTATTACCTATGACAATTAATTCCACGTTTGCAAACACGAATTAGTTCTGATCTATGTAATTTCGTAACTACAAACGCGGAATTAATTCGCTTCTATTCACAAAATTAAGTATGACAATTAATTTCGCGTTTAAAACCTGAAATTTAATTATGCTGTAATTAATTGTGCCTTTACAAAGAAACCAAATCACACAGCCTTATCGGAAAAAGGAACAAGTATGACCCTTTTGCGCCTTTGTAGTATGGCAATATGCATATTCTTGCATCTTAATATCAGAAATTGAATAGAAAATTATAGCATTTTCTTGTACAGTTTTTAATATGTCTACTGTGTTTTTTCGTGTTAGAAATTATATTCTTTATATATTTTAATTATATTCTTTAATAACAAGCTCACGGTGTTGGTGTTGTTGGATTATTCTAAAGCATTCGACACAATAGATCACTCATTGCTCTTATCTATCTTGCACTATTTAGGGTTCCAAGCCACTGCTATAGATTTGATAAAACACTATCTCTTGAATAGATTACAGGTGGTCAAATATCTATCTAATATCTCCACTACAAAACCAGTATTAAGAGGCGTACCACAAGGTTCTATTGTGGGTCCCCTTATGTACTCATTATATACTTGTAACATTATTAACTGTTTAAGGCACTGCAAGTATCACATGTATGCTGACGACACGCAAATATATTTTTCATTTATTCCTTCTCAATTACAAACAGCATTGTGCTACGTGAACGAAGATATAGAGTGCATAGTGAATTTAAGTAAACGACATAGTTTACAAATTAATTCGTCTAAATCCTCCGTAATGCTTTTTGGGAATACCAAAGAACGTAATAAAGTCGGCGCTATGATTGAAATTAAAGTGGATAATTTTAGGTTGCCTCTGAAGAATGTTTGTAAAAACTTAGGTGTATATCTTGACAACGATCTTCGTTTTGATTTTCATATTTCCAAATGTATTCAGAAAGCATATTTAAATTTGAAATTGTTATTCGCCAATTGTTATTGTCTTTCTAGGGATATGAAAATCTTACTTTGCGATTCCTTAGTATTGTCCGATTTCAATTATTGTGACACACTTTACGATTCTTGTATAACTGCACATACTAGAATGAGAATTCAACGAACACAAAATTCTTGCTTAAGATTCATATTCGGTATTCGTAGATATGATAACATCTCTCACACAATAAAGGAAACGAACTGGCTTAACATGTCTAATAGAAGAAAATTACATACAGCAGTTTTTTATTTCAAGATAATTGAATCAAAAACCCCATCCTATTTGTTTGAGAAAGTATCTTTTAGAAGTGATATGCATAACAGAAATCTTCGATCATCTACATCCCTCAGTATTCCTTTTCATAAAACTACATTCTTCAAAAGGTCATTTTCCTACAACATCGCAAATTATTACAATAAAAAAGTACCCATCTCGTTTCGAAGTTTGTCCATTTCGAGTTTGAAATATAAGTTTAAAACCATGCTTCGCTTAAGTCAATAGGTAAACACACCATTATCAATCACATTTGTCATTAATTATTTTAATTTATTTTTCCATCTTTCATTTTGTTGTCCTTATAGTAATTACTTGAGAACACTCAATTCTAATTTTTACTAAATGTTAATAATAATAGGCATCGATATTGGGTCTGGTGGAAGACCAGTGAACCTACACGGTAAACTGAAACAGATCCGTTTTCCGGTTTCCATAAATACGTTATGTAATTTATCTATATGTCCTATGGAAATAAAAGTATTATTATTATTATTATTATTATTATATCTTTCTGACGCCATATACCAATAGCAGTCGTTGATATTGCAGTTTTAGCAATACGTTAAAGAAATCACCCAATACCGTGCGTAATCACAAAATGGGCTCACTCCTTCAACGTTCTAAGAATTGGTGGGCCGAATCAAAAATTTTGGTGGGAGATATTATGAATAAAAAATTTTATATGGCTAACACAGATACCACCCGCGCATCTACGCATATGCGTTCTGCAAAAAAGCTTTTCGGCCCTTTCTTTTATGTCTAAGAATATGTGTACCAAATTTGATACCAATCGGTTCAGCTGTTTAGCCGGAAATGAAAGAACAGGTGGATTGACAGACCGATATCATCGAGATTTTGTTTGTATCAGATTTTTGGTGATTCAAAACGTGTATTTCTGTCAAAAAAGTGGTGGGTAATTTTTTCCCAATGCAATATACCACCCTTAGTGCGGGTGGTAAAAAATGTAACGGAATCCCGATCACGCATTTTATTTGATTCAATTTTACTAAATTTTTTCGATTTTTTTATGTGGGCGAATGAGTTTTGAGTACAGTCCTGTCGAGTTAACTACGTGTGAAAGTTGTCGGCTCCAGTAAGTCGTGACACGGGACGAAATTAACTAGAATAACGTCACGACCTTTCTGATTCCAGATCCGCTCGGTATCAGTATGGCGTAGGTTTAAGGTCTAAGGGTCCTTAGTCAACGTGAATTTGATAAGAACTTCCAATTTGGGTGTTTCGAGATTTCATTGGTTGAGAAGAAGCTGGCTAATTGGTACTATGCTCGATGGGTGTATTAAGAAGTGAATTTGGTGGAAGGTTGATGGAGAATAATAAATAAATAAAATAAGACTAAGGCACGAGCGAATGCGCGTTTAGCCACGAGAGCGTTTACGTAAATCCGCCCGAAACGGTTAAGCGAATCATCCTATAAATTATCACAGGGTGGTTGAGAGTTAGTGAGATAATCTACGTCAATATTTGTGGTTAAAGAATATGCGGTAATTCGAGTGCAATCAAATTTTGGCGATCTCCAAGGTCAAGGGTGAAATACGGTAAATCATAACGGTACGTGCAAAGTAAAGTTTGAATCTAAGTTTGGTGAGTTACAGTTCAAACGATAAATTACGAGAAACAACCACGATAAATCAGGACTATACGTGTGAAAAATTTGCTGTGGGTAACACAAATACCACCTTCGCTTATTCAGATTCGTCGCATTCTTCAGATTTCGGAGCTGTTTAGTTTGTTTAGATACTTTGGACCTTCCACGGAACGCGTCGTATTAGATTTTGGTCATTGGAATAATTTTATTGGTGGTTTCCTTACATTTTAAGTTGAAGTACTTGTTATTACGAGATACACATGGTGGTTCCTTTAGAGAGCTGGTTACTCCAAAATTTTGTTACATTAATTTTCATAGGTCAATGATTTGAATGCGACACTAGCCGTTTAATTGTCTGAGAAAGGTTGGTGGAGCCCGTCTGGCGCGAGATACCGCTAGATTAATGACTTTTACGTGACCGTTATCAGGGAACGACGCGTGAGAATCGCTAATGACACATCTTGCAAACATTTTTTCTAAATCCCTATAGCTTGGTTTACGCCAAGCGACTAACGGTAATTATATTTGGTTCAAATTATAAAACATATTATGCTTTGAAGGTTAGGTAAGTAATACTCACATTATATTTAGGCGACCACGAATTACACATAATTGAAGCATCCTCTAGTATTCGACTCTGAAAGAAAGAATAGGTGGTTAAAAGGTTACTCAAAAGAACGGTTACTATGATACAAGTTATAGTCACAAGAAAATGATGCCACACACTTTTTTACACTCAAGTCTGCTGCTTTGTGCGTAAATTGCTACGACCTCCGTAGCTCGGGTCGTTTATTAACAATATATGCCCATGTTTGGTAGATACCCTTTAAAATAAAGCCTCCCCTTTCCCAATACTCCATTCAATATCCGCTAAAAAGTATAAGACCAAAATGGAACAAACACACTCAATTTAGTCATCATAAATTTAGGGTAGAACCTGCGAAATCGGTAGCGCTGTTGTAATTCAATGTTTGTATGTGCATCTGCAATTTGGCAGTGTGTATTAAATAATAATTGGTAAGTGTTTCTTAAAATCTTCAAAGTTAGAGTGAAGTACACGCTGGAGCCAATTGTGTTAATTCAGTGGATATTTTTTGATAAGATGTAACGGAGAAGGGCAATAGTTTGTAGAAAACTGTTCCTTTCGTTGAGATGTTTTGTTAGAATACCATGAACGATCAAACTAATTATTTCTACCCCCTCCCCTTATCTCAAACTCCTTACCTCGACAAGGAGTCACGGAGGAAAGTTGGTACAAACCAATTCCTTTCGATGAGATCGTCATTATAGCTCAGTGGTATAGAGCGTTGGGGTATAAATCCGGAGGTCGGGAGTTCGAACCTGGTTTGAGGTGAATTTTTCATCTGTGGCAGAGATGGGAATTTCCTTAGATCAGTTTCGAGCATTTTGCCGGCTACTCCGTTTCCTGCAGTTTTCGTAATTCGTAAGGTAAATACCGGAGTGGTATAGAACAACTTAAGACCTTCTGCAGGGGCACCTCTAAAAAGCATTATGCGGGTCACTCTGTAATTGGGCTACCTATTGCAAAGTATTCCAGGGCTCTGAGAACAATAGTTTCCTAGGAGTGGTTTAAAACCGCACATGGGAAGCCGGACAGATGGACGGACGGACATAATGGAAACAATAGCTTAATATTATTATATCCAAATAAACAGCGCACTGTTGTAAAAATTCCAGTGTATTGTTTTTCTTGGTCTGTACTTTGCTTTCAAATTCTGGCTTTTTGTTTATGAATAAGGCCTGGGATTATTTGGAAGAAAATCGAGACGTTTTAGATTTGGTGGATTCTTCAGAATGAACAGTAAGCATTTTCAGATCTTGTTCTTGTTTAGTACAAAATTTAATTAACTGGCCAGTAGGAATATTTTTCAGCTTAGTAAGGGTGCTTTTAGAGGTATTGCAAGAGCGATTTCGTTATTTAATCATAGTAATTAAGGTTGAAATAATTTCCTAGAATTTGTATCATAGTGTCAACTCACATCTAAAGGGACTAAAGAAAGATTTCATTTCAGAAGCACTCTAACACTGAAGTTACGTAATCTGTCCGGATATGCTCGAGTATTCAAATTAATGTAGTGAATAATTCGCCAATAAAATTGAGGGAGTATTTGGTGAAATATTGGTTACGAATTTTTATGTATTTAACCAGACTATAGTGAAGGCAAAAATCAATTGAATTATTTCCTCTATTTAATCACTTTTGTGAGCTAGCCTTGGAAGTAAATACGGAAGTTACATCCCAACGTACTAACCACGAAGAGAAAACATTAAAATGAGTTCTTGTAATAGCTTGGTAACTTACCGGCGGACCTAGGTAAAACAAAGCGAAATATGTTGGCACTTGGCAATGTTAAATGAAGGAAGTCCTATTTGTCTCTGTGAAATTGTGCACAAGAAGTATATTTTCCATTTATGAGAGCGCAACAAATATCGATCAAATGGTACATTAACTCAATGAAAATTTTAAATTAAATTACGCAATTGAGGGTGTCCCAAATTATATGGGCCATTGATCTACATGTTGCACGCGGCAGACACGTGGCGGTCTTATCGAATTTCGCATTACTTGTACAAGACCACTTCACCCTCACGACCGATTGTCGGTAAAATATAATTTTCAATTCTATCGCCGATATTTTTTATCGGAACGGGTCAATTTGATTGTCGGAAACGTGCGGAAATGGAAGGAAAAAGTAAACTTGTTAAGTGGAAAAGTACAGAAGGACGACATTACTCATTCATGTCTTCAATTAGCACATAAAAGCTTATGATAATATGTATGAATATATACATATTTTGTAACAAGCTAGTGTTCATAAATTCCCTTTCAGTCTAATGAAGAGTCAGCTAATTGTTATTAGAGAATTGAAATAAAGTTAACGCGACGGAAATAGTACTCACTCGACTAATTTGTTGTAGGGATTAATGGCACATTCCTATACCATGTTTTAGAAGTGCAGGAGTTGTTTTGATTGAAATTTATAAGTGTAAATTGCAGTTGAGGTCTCAATTTCTTTTTTATTAATTTCACACTTTGAAGGATAAAACCTTATAGAAATGTCACTGGGCGACATACGAGTATATTAGTTTCTGGTTCATTACACTCAAAAGATTCGTCTCTTGAATATATTTGCTTCCGAAACACCAAGGGTAAATCGCCTCTAGAAATGTTCACTCGGAAGGTTAGCTCATTGAAGTCTGCTGTAGGAATGTTTGTAACGTGACATGTATCTATGATCTATGACATTCCGTTACCGAGATCTCGATCGATTTATAAAAGGCGCCCGAACGAACGAATGATCGGTCGATCGATAATTGTGAAACTAAAGCGTTTTTTTTAAAATTAAAAATTCGATAAAAAGACAAAAAATGTTTTTACAATTAGAAACATTGTAAATAATTATGGACTTCATCTTGCTAAGTAATCTATGCAGGAATAACTCGATAATACGAACCTAATGCTGAAAACCCCATGATCAAGATCTCGATCAATTTAAGGAGACATTTCAAGAAAACTATTGACTTCAGGAATGGTTTTCAGCTTTCTGACTATGGGAGGCGGAAATAGTAAGAAGGGCGAATATAATGCTGAAAATCCGAAAGTTCCTTTGGCGAGAACTCGATCGATTTATACAATTTTTACAATAAAAAATGCGCTCTAACGGTTAACATATCATAAATTAGCTGATACATATTGTTGACCAGTATTGCTACCAATTACTTTGAAGCGTTAATTATTCTGCCTGCAGGAGGAGCTACGAAAGTTCGAAGATTTACAGCCACAGTCAACCAAACACACTACAGAAGCACTCAGGTGCACTTACTGCAACATTCCCGGAAATACGAGACTGAAGCTCCAAAACCGCCAACAACTGCAACCACCGCGCCCAGCCCCCTAGCGTGTTTCGGGTGTGGAAAACCTGGCGTGAAACGAGTTTTCCTCCTGTAAAATGAATCTCATACTGTCTGAAGGGGAGATCACACTCGCAAGCTGTCCTTGTGGTCAACGTGCCAGTGGTCCTAAAAGGACGCACGATTCGAACGGAGATTTTGATACCCCCGGTGCCGAAAATCGCACCCTTCTTGAGATGGAGTTGATCGAGGGCGCGAAGATTACCACAAATCTTACCGAACGATGTTGGGCTTCTCACACTAAGGAAATCTCACGTCGCCAAAACTCGCCCACGCAGGGATTCTCAGTGGACTCTTCGGGAGGAGCCCGACACCGCCCACTCGTTCCCCACCAGCATGACCCAACCCACGGATATCGCCTCCGAGCCATATAGTATTTTCTCGGACGCCCTACTTGATACGCCCGTGGTGCCTCTACCGGCTTTACCTAGGGCCTTACCGTCACCATCGATTTTCTCCCCTCCCCCTCCAGAAGAGACTCCAGAACGTTGCCCTCTGCGTAGTAGAAATCTAGGTGGTGAGTGTACAACCGGACGAAGACATCACCATGTCCCCTATCGAGAGGGATGACCTACTCCTACAAGCGTACATGAGCACGTTCACTCCAAACTGAGGATTGACGCCTTACGCCGTCCACACCATACGAATGGTCATTATCGAGGAATGCGAGTCGTCGTAGGTCGTACCGGTAGTCATAGTACAAAAACCATACGGATTCACCAGAGGACACGACTACCGGAAGCTAAATTCGAACACTACCCCTGACACGTACCATTTCCCAAGGATCGACGATCTTCTGCACACCGCACGAGTCTCCATAGTGACAACGATCGACGTGCAGCCCTGTTAGTGGCAGATCGCCATGGTCCCTCAGAACCGAGATAAAACAGCCTTCTATTCTCCCCTCGGCCAATAGAAATGCAAACGATTACCCTTTGCCCTAAAGAACGCGCCCTCGACCTTTCAGCGCTTGATCGATCGCTCTAAACTTTACTCATCGGTGTCACGATCTTAGCCTATCCTGATGACATTGTCCGTCAATTTCGAGGGCTACCCTCGCGATTAGCCATCGTCTTCGACAAGCTTCGCCACTACAAACTAAAGACTCGCCACACGAAGTGCCACTTTGCTCGATAATCAGTCCGTTATCTTGAACACATCGTCACTCCTTTAGGACTAAGCACTGACCCAAAGAAATCACTACCACCGCAAAACTTGCCCGAGCCGAGGAACCTTAAACCTTCTTGCAGACATATGCATGATATCGATGGTTCGTGCCCCAGTTGCAACCCTAAGCGACAGCTCACTACCACAGCAAGCCGACCCGACGCTCTCGTTCCACATAAAAACGGACGCCAGCCAGTAAGCCGAGGAAAAAAATTCTACGGGTACGTCGTGGGTGAGTGTCAACAGACCGCCAACTCCTGAAGTGGCTCTTACCACTAAAATCCACACGGGGACGACTGTCCGATGGGCACTCGCCATACAGGCCCATGATATAGTATACCAATACATACCAGGAAGGCAAAAGTAGTCGCCGGCACCCTCTCTTGACCACTCGGCTCCCCAGAAATACGGGAAGAATGCCCCGTATGCATAGTTACGGTCGTCGGCTTCCCTAAACGACATCCGCCATGAGGTACGAAAAATTATATAAAGGTTTGAAGGGTCGTACTCGGACACAACGGACCACCATCACATTAT